ACAGACAGACACGAGGTCGTTTGCATAAGCCCGCTGGATAGCTTTTTCAAAGCAGAGGGGCGGGCTAAAAAGCGGACAAAAGTTTGGATTCTATAGAATCCAAAAAAAGCGGACAAAAGTACGACAATTTTTTAAGGAATTGGGCTAAAACGACCAGTTGACCTTGTAGCGCAATGTTCAAGGATTTCAAAACGCATTAGTTTGTATTTTTAGCTGCAAATCTTCACCTTGAAATATCATTTTGAAATCAGCTATTTTGCGATGCCCGCATGGACGGCTCTAACCTCACTATCTTATATTGTTATTTTTAGTCCGCCCTTCTGCTTTGACAAAGCTATCCATCGGGCTTATGCAAACGACCTCGTGTCTGTCTGTCCGTCTGTGTGCCTGTCTGTTCCACTAGAAGGAGAAATGCTTGAGACTTCAAATTTTCAGGGGATCTTAAGGTTCACTCCCACAAAACAAAACGCCTACGACAAATCCTGCCAGCCACCCCTAAGGGGCTGAAATGGGGTATCAAAGAAAACAGGAAAGGCCAAAAAAGTTCAAAAATATATTGTTTTATATGATCTCCTAAGCGGTAACTTGAGAAAGTACAACCCTTTGGACAAAAATTTCGTCTGTTTTGCTCTATCTCTCACCGTTTGGGCGCTAGAGGGAGTTTCTCTCACAAAAGTGGCCCAAAAATAAATTTATTAATTTCCGAAAGTATTGGATGGTCTCTAAATGGGTAACTTGTGAAAGTAGATCCCTTCGGACGAAAATTTCGTCCGTTTTGCTCTATCTCTCACCGTTTGGGCGCTAGAGGGAGTTTCTCTCACAAAAGTGGCCCAAAAATAAATTCATTAATTTCCGAAAATATTGGATGGTATCCTTAGGGGTAACTTGTGAAAGTAGTGCCCTTTGGGCTAAGCAGGCCCGGCCCGGCCCCTGCCGAACAGAGTTGCCGGCGGAGCGCAGTTGAGCTGTTTTTTAAACGAACCCGCTTCTACCACACGCGCCGCGAGCGGCGGGCCAGAGCGTCATGTCGCCGCGACCACCTGTTGGAGTGCATACCATATTACCTCAGTACCGCCAACTGTGCTCAAGGCCCCTCCCTCACCGCCCCTTTGTTGAGTGTAACCAAAACAGAGAGCAAAATGAAGCAAATTTCTAGAATGTTACAGCCACAAAGCTTTCTGGTGGTCAACCGAACTTTCTGCGGTGCCTTTTTAGCCCGCCCTTCTGCTTTGAAAAAGCTATCCAGCGGGCTTATGCAAACGACCTCGTGTCTGTCTGTCTGTCTCTTGAAATTTTCAGGGTATCTTAAGGTCCACTTCTAAAAAACGAAACGCCTACGGCAAATCCTGGCAACCACCCCTAAGGGTCTGAATGGGGGTATCCAAGGTTCAAAAATTCTTCCCAAAAGTAATTTATTTTTCATGTTCCCCTAAGGGGTAACTCGTCAACGTAGAATTTCGTCCGTTTTGCTCTATCTCTAACCGTTTAGGCGCTAGAGGGTCTTTTTTGACAAAAAAAAGCTAAAAATTTCCATAGTGAACAATAAGTTGTAGTAAAAGGCCTAAAAACCGCAAAATAGAAAGGAAACTCTTCCCCCACCCCCTAAAAACGTTTTCTAAGCAGAAGGGTGGGTTGTAGTCACGGTGCTTCACCGTTACATCCCTTTCTCGAGTCTTTGGGGCAAACTCAAAGACGACGGGTTTAAGCGGGCCGAAGGCCCGCTACATCATTCGATCATGTTCTTCAGCAAATCGCATGACAGAAATGGTCGGGCCGCAGGCCCGACCATCGCCGCCGGCAGGCCAAGCACCCCGGCCCCTGCCGAACGGAGTTGCCGGCGGAGCGAAGCGGAGCTGGCAACTTCGTTTGGCGGAAGGGCGGGCCTGCTTGTTATCGTTGTTCATAGCTTCAGCTTCAGCACGTTTGCTGACGTGTTGTTCTAAACACAACGAACCATATCCAGGTGCAGGCCATCGATTATTTACCCCCCCCCCCCACCCCCCAAAAAAGTGAAAAGTAAAACCCTCCCCTGATTGCGATTTGGGCCAACTTTAAAAGGCCGTAAGTAACGAAATCATGAAAAATCAAAGAAACCGACAATTGATTCTTGAAGTTCGAAACCTTGTTTACAAGATCCCGTAGTCGGTTTTTGCGGTATTTTGCGGTCTTGCGAGAAGAAGACTTGTTTTTGGACGAATTTTGGTGGACTTTGCAGTCGCGGCCTAATAGGGTCGCCTAACCGACTGCACCTCGTATGCAATCATTGAAAATGTGTCAAAAATCCCTTAAAAAATCATGCAGAGTCCTAAAAAATCAGACAACAATCAAAACAACAACCTATTTAAAAAATCGTAAATATATCGTAAAAATGGAGAAAAAACCGTAAAAATTCGAAAAAAACTTGTAAAAATCAGCAAAAAATCAGCAAATATCAACGCAACCGTAGACCTCGGTAACCGAACTTTCACGTGATTTGAGTAAGATTTTGAAAACTCCACCCCTTTTTGACCTGGATCCGCCTCCTAAAAGTTCAAAATTATTTTAAAAAAATGGAATCAGCGCACCCGACAACCCCCCTGAACTTACCGACATCGTATGTGCGATGCACCCAATAACTGTTATGATTTATGTCCGCTTTTTTTTTTATTCTTGCCCACTGGGCCCTTCCCCCCCTTCTCTCCCTAAGCGGGTGACGTAATATGTGGACGACCCCTTACGGGCTCATCGACAAACCTGATAAATTGACTGGAAAAACAAAGGTGCCCAGTTGCTAAGTCCTACCTTTAAAAGTCACCAAGGGATGAGTGCT